CACGGTTAAACTTCATATTATTTCGGGTCCGAAAAATTAGTAAATATTCTTCAGACGTTCTAAAGTAAAGGTGAACAGCGTTTTTCTTAAAAATATCACTGTTATGTAGTAAAAAAAATCCGGAAAGTTCTCGCCTTGTGACTTGTTCAATACTTCGAACGCGGATCGAGTCCGTCCCGACCTTCTGTCAAAGCCTCGTGTTGCGGACTCTCTCGCGGACCCTCTCCCTCGCACCGTCACCTCTCATTGGCCAGTATTTTTCGTTAATAACTCGTAAACAAAGCCACAGATTGCAAATTCGCAAAGGAAAAAATTACTTCAAATGACCTCAGCTACCCCTCATTTTCGGCTGTTAAAATAATTGTGGAACACCCTGTATAACGCATTTCTCCCATTACAACACGGACATTGTAATAACTACATAAGGAGACGAAATTTTTTTAATATTTCCAACGGGAAAGTCCCATGGCAGTATAGCCACATAGATTAAAAATAGTTTTATTTACTTTGACATTAAGTTTGACTTAAGTATTTTATTGAGATCAATTTTAATGTATTATTAAATCTAATTTACATTTTCTATTAAGTCTAATGTTAATTTTCTATTGGGTCATTATCGAGTTCAGTTTCAGATTTTGATTATATTTGAATATGTTGTTCTTATTAACGATATACAAACATGCCTCGAATGATTTTTCAAAGTTTTCAATTTTACACAGGCCTGCAAGGAGAAGTGTCACTTTTTTCATGAAATCATGACTATTATGCTACCAAACTAATAAAAATGAAATTATTGGAGTTTATAGTAACAACGTAAGAGTATGTAAGGAAAATAATTTTAGTTGAAAAACTGTATTTCTTCACTGTTTATTTTGCAATGATTACAAACAAACGGGTGTATTTTAGCAGGGTACTTTTTAAAACTTGAAAAAGGAGGATATAGCACCCTTTTACGGACAGCTTTCCAAAAATATGCACATATATCTGACCAAACTAAAATTAGATGCACTGACCACCTGCTCCGACGTACGGTGCAATTTTAATATTTCCAATTATAGAATCTCCATTTTTTTTAAAAGCTGTTTGCAAACGGGACACTTGGGGTTATTTCCTCCTTTTTCAAGATTTAAAAATGTGCTAAACCACATCCCGTTTGTTTAAAACAGGTGCGAAAGAAAGAGTGAAGGCATACATTTTTGCAATTAAAATTATTTTTCCTGCATACTCTCAGGTTTTTACTATAATTTCCTAAAATTTCAATAGTAATGATTTTACGAAAATAAAAGTTGACACTTCTTCTCGCAAGCCTATGCAAAATTGATAATTTTGGAAAATCCTTCGAGGTATGTTTGGATATCGCTAAAGGCCGCAACATACTGAAATGTGGCCGAAATCTGAAATTGCACTCCTAAACTGTCCGATTTGACGTATAATGATCATATTAAGTTTAATTTACGTTTTTTATTACTGTGTAATTATAGTTTATCGTTAAGTTTAATGTAACCTTTTCATTCAGTCTACCTTTAGTTCTACGTTAAGTTAAGCTCTATGTTAGATAAGTCTACATTAAGTAACTGAAGTATTTTATGAAGTTCGATTTAAATTAAATTGTATCGATATTTGAATAAATTAGTTAAATTTTCACTTACAGTAGTGATCGCTGACGGTGGTATGAATGACGATTGTGTTGTCAAAGTGATCAGCAACGACAACGAAAATTATAATGCAGAAAAATATTGCCAGTTGGTTAGATCTACCTCATCCTCTCCGCTCCCGCTCTTCCTCGCCCTGTTATTTTTTTATTTCTTGCGACAGCTGCAGTAAATATTTGTTTTAATAAAGAGAATGCTAAGAATTTAACTTTTTGTAATTCAGTATATGTCGTGTACTTTACCGGGTTCCGCACATTGTGAATTTTTCTTTTCTTGTAGGCATCTGACCTTGTCTAATATTTCCTTCAGTACGGGTTCCTGCTCATACAAATGAATCAGTAGTATTGCCTTATCTTTTAAGATTATTCACAAACGAAAGTATATTAGATCGGCTCCTTTTTTACAAATAGATCGTGATATCTAATGTATTTAAAAAATTAAAGAATTAGATGCAGAAGCATTAGAGTTAATAAATAAGTAATATAACGTACAGGACAATAACAATAACAATAACGATACAATTTTTATGTTATCTAACAATATCCTGACATTTTCACATGATCCAGATCAAATTTATTAATATGGATCACTATGGTACTGCGGCGAGCTAATCTTAGAGTACGGACCGGTTCCGTATTCTGAGAGTAGCTGTTCTGCTAGCCACAATACAGCTTATACAAATTTCGAGAATATGAGTCAATACGTAACGAAAGCCCTTAACTTATCACCAAAATTATCCGATATCAGGAACCCGTTAAAAATTGTTAATTAATTAATTGCCGGAATGCTATAAGAATTTAAGGCGATGGTAATTGCCTTAGACAATTTGCAGGTACCAATCACCACAGATTTCGCGAAAACTAAAAGAAAGGTTCCAAGACCTTGCATCACTGTGTGTTTTTTAAAACATAAAGCGATAATTATAAACTGCACCACGAACTTATAGGACGACCTAATAAAGTTATTGCAGAGAGGAAAGAAATATAAAATTTTTTATTTCGCATAGAAATTAATTAACGACAAAGAAGTGCTAATCGACTTACTAGCTCTGGAAGAAATCGTAATAATTTTTGAAATTTTGTGCAACGATGATATTTGCCACCTCAAACTTAATTACGTTTTCATGTAATATTTTTTTTCTATTATCATTAATACGGGAGAAATCTGAAGTGCTCACCGCCTAACATGGTTAGACCACTCTATATGTTGTGCCACGTTTTACTTTAAATTCTTTATCTTTAGATTTTATTTAAAACTCACTCAAACAATATCAATCGAATGAGTTAGACGTGTGTCGCGAACGCTCTGTTTGTTTTGGTTTTACCTATTACGATCACTCAGTGGCCGTTTCTGACAGTTATCAGTGGCAGTTAAATTTTTAAAATAGCCTGCAATGCCAAAATCGTTTTAACATCGCAAATATGCAAGAAATGTAGTAAGCTAGTCACAAACCCAGTGGAGTATCAAATCTGTGACGTAGTTTCGCATACTGGCTCCAAATGTCTAACAAGATCTGAGTTGGGCGGCTCTGAAATGACAGTGGTTTCGATGGAAAAAGAAAGAGGAGAGCGTTTCGTCCAGGACTCGCTAGAGGAGTCATTGGTGCCACGCTCTATAATAATATATCGAGTGAATTATTTGAATTGTTTACTAACCAGTTCGCTAAATTAGGAGAAAATCTAACAGCCAAGATTACAAATGAACTCGATTATATTCGTGAGACTTACAAGTTTGAATTAGCTGAAATCAATAATAAAATATCTTCTATAACGTTAAAAATAAAAAAATCTGAAAGAGAAGATCACGTTAATTAACAAGAGTTCAAGCAAATGAACTAATATACAAGAGATTGTAGGGGAACTAGAAGAAAGACGGAACAGATCAAATAACCTAATTCTTTTAAACCCTGTCAGGATGATCGCTGTAAGGTCACCAATATTTTAAATAAAATAGTACCTAATAATTATGATAACATCATCAGAAGAGACAAAAAATATCCGAAGCCATTAGTAATTAATCTTCCTTCAACAATTATTTCTGTTGTGATACTATAACGAAAAAAGATATATAAGGGACCAGCAAGAATTAGTCAAAATCTTACACAAGAGCAAAGATCTCACCTCAAGGGCCTTAAGGAACAACTCCGCGCTGTAAATGATTCTCTCATATATATATAGCTTACTGTACGTTACCCTAATAGAATCCCTGAGATTATGAAGAGAACCACTGCGTACTATACAAAAGACATGGAGCCCGCCCGAATATCTACTTCCAGATCGTGAGAGGTTTGCGTATAAAACTCATCGAACTCTGCAGATCATTGTTGTTAGCGCATGTCAAATATGATATAATTAGATTAGTGGGAACCAGGCTATCGGATGATATAGTAAATACTGAGCTACCTTTTAACGCTTATTCCATATATTTGGTTGTGACAGGAATGCACCAACATCGTCCTTTAGAGAGGTGGAGGAGTCTTATAGCAGTGTCGAATAAATGAAATTGCTCCTCATTAATGCTACCATTCGATGATATCGAACAACTTTTCTTTAAGTAGAACTGGAAGGGTGATCATTTTGTTATTGGCACTATTTTATTTCCACCCAATTCGCCGATATCAAGATCTCTGTGCATGTGTGTAAAACATTTTAGAAAAATACAATAATATTAACATATGCCTACTAGGTGAATATAATTTATCGTATCCATCCATAATTAGAAATAAAATATTTGAAGCAGATTGCAAAATAGCCGTATCGTAAAATATGTACAGTATTATACAAAAATATTGCCAATATAACGAGAACCGCTCTAAATTTAATATTTTCTAATTTTAACATCAGTTATCGTAGCNATATCAAGATCTCTGTGCATGTGTGTAAAACATTTTAGAAAAATACAATAATATTAACATATGCCTACTAGGTGAATATAATTTATCGTATCCATCCATAATTAGAAATAAAATATTTGAAGCAGATTGCAAAATAGCCGTATCGTAAAATATGTACAGTATTATACAAAAATATTGCCAATATAACGAGAACCGCTCTAAATTTAATATTTTCTAATTTTAACATCAGTTATCGTAGC